TAACCAACTACCAATCACCACCTATAATTAATAACCAACTACCAATCACCACCTATAATTAATAACCAACTACCAATCACCACCTATAATTAATAACCAACTACCAATCACCACCTATAATTAATAACCAACTACCAATCACCACCTATAATTAATAACCAACTACCAATCACCACCTATAATTAATAACCAACTACCAATCACCACCTATAATTAATAACCAACTACCAATCACCACCTATAATTAATAACCAACTACCAATCACCACCTATAATTAATAACCAACTACCAATCACCACCTATAATTAATAACCAACTACCAATCACCACCTATAATTAATAACCAACTACCAATCACCACCTATAATTAATAACCAACTACCAATCACCACCTATAATTAATAACCAACTACCAATCACCACCTATAATTAATAACCAACTACCAATCACCACCTATAATTAATAACCAACTACCAATCACCACCTATAATTAATAACCAACTACCAATCACCACCTATAATTAATAACCAACTACCAATCACCACCTATAATTAATAACCAACTACCAATCACCACCTATAATTAATAACCAACTACCAATCACCACCTATAATTAATAACCAACTACCAATCACCACCTATAATTAATAACCAACTACCAATCACCACCTATAATTAATAACCAACTACCAATCACCACCTATAATTAATAACCAACTACCAATCACCACCTATAATTAATAACCAACTACCAATCACCACCTATAATTAATAACCAACTACCAATCACCACCTATAATTAATAACCAACTACCAATCACCACCTATAATTAATAACCAACTACCAATCACCACCTATAATTAATAACCAACTACCAATCACCACCTATAATTAATAACCAACTACCAATCACCACCTATAATTAATAACCAACTACCAATCACCACCTATAATTAATAACCAACTACCAATCACCACCTATAATTAATAACCAACTACCAATCACCACCTATAATTAATAACCAACTACCAATCACCACCTATAATTAATAACCAACTACCAATCACCACCTATAATTAATAACCAACTACCAATCACCACCTATAATTAATAACCAACTACCAATCACCACCTATAATTAATAACCAACTACCAATCACCACCTATAATTAATAACCAACTACCAATCACCACCTATAATTAATAACCAACTACCAATCACCACCTATAATTAATAACCAACTACCAATCACCACCTATAATTAATAACCAACTACCAATCACCACCTATAATTAATAACCAACTACCAATCACCACCTATAATTAATAACCAACTACCAATCACCACCTATAATTAATAACCAACTACCAATCACCACCTATAATTAATAACCAACTACCAATCACCACCTATAATTAATAACCAACTACCAATCACCACCTATAATTAATAACCAACTACCAATCACCACCTATAATTAATAACCAACTACCAATCACCACCTATAATTAATAACCAACTACCAATCACCACCTATAATTAATAACCAACTACCAATCACCACCTATAATTAATAACCAACTACCAATCACCACCTATAATTAATAACCAACTACCAATCACCACCTATAATTAATAACCAACTACCAATCACCACCTATAATTAATAACCAACTACCAATCACCACCTATAATTAATAACCAACTACCAATCACCACCTATAATTAATAACCAACTACCAATCACCACCTATAATTAATAACCAACTACCAATCACCACCTATAATTAAACCAACTACCAATCACCACCTATAATTAAACCAACTACCAATCACCACCTATAATTAAACAAACTACAAATCAACACTTATAATTAATAACTAACTACCAATCACCACCTATAATAAATAACAAACCACCAATCACCACTTATAATTAAACCAACTACCAATCAACACCTATAATTAATAACTAACTACCAATCACCACCTATAAGTAGTAACCAACTATCAAAAACCACCTATAATTGATAACCACCTACCAATCACCACCTATAATTAGTAACCAACTACCAACCACCACCTATAATTGATAACCACCTACCAACCACCACCTATAATTAATAACCAAACATTGACGCTACACCTACACAGATAAATGTAATGTGTAACACTGTAAGCACAAAATTATTTAAGTGACATAAATATGTCAGATTTCCCTCTCCCTTTGACGAGCATGTAGTTTATATAAAAACAACACATGTATTTATTACGTTGATCACTTGTTGCAACATGATGTATTAAGCAAAATAAAGATACATGAATCAAGGTACCAATATATATTATAAATTAATACAAAATCAATTAATTTATCCATTAATTGAACACAATACGAATCCATTTAGTTTTGCATAAAGACATAACAAACACCAAACATTCAGGTTGGTCTTTGACCCAGGACCCGTGGGATTAAACCAGTCGTGGCTAGACTAAATATTATAGACCAGACAACACCAGACATTGATGTTGGTCTGTAACCCAGGACCCATGGGATTAAACCAGTCCTGGCTAGACTAAATAGTGTAGACCAGACAACACCAGACATTTATGTTGGTCTGTGACCCAGGACCCATGGGATTAAACCAGTCCTGGCTAGACTAAATATTGTAGACTAGACAACACCAGACATTTATGTTGGTCTGGGACCCAGGACCCATGGGATTAAACCAGTCCTGGCTAGACTAAATAGTGTAGACCAGACAACACCAGACATTTATGTTGGTCTTTGACCTAGGACCCATGGGATTAAACCAGTCGTGGCTAGACTAAATATTGTAGACCAGACAACACCAGACCATGTTTTATTGTAGCTCGAGGATAACAGAAAGCATACCAAAATACCTGTACAATATAATTCAAAGTAGAAATCAATACAATACCAACGAATTGTAATGGAATCAGTACTATTGGTATTTAATAAACTTCAACTCTAAATCGGGGAACGTTAATTTGTCTAGCGTACAAAAGTGGATAAGCCTCCAAGGGAAAGGCCGCTATTTTCCCTACACCTCTACTTGTTTTATATAGGAGGCCCAAGCTCTATCAGATTATACTCTACACCTCTACCTGTTATATAGGAGGCCCAAGTTCTATCAGATTATACTCTACACCTCTACCTGTTATATATGGGAGGCCAAAGCTCTATCAGATTATACTCTACACCTCTACTTGGTTTATATAGGAGGCCCAAGCTCTATCAGATTATTCTCTACACCTCTACTTGTTTTATATAGGAGGCCCAATCTCTATCAGATTATACTCTACACCTCTACTTGTTTTATACAGGAGGCCCAAGCTCTATCAGATTATACCCTACCCCTCTACTTGTTTTATATAGGAGGCCCAAGCTCGATCAGATTATACTCTACACCGCTACTTGTTTTATATAGGAGGCCCAATCTCTATCAGATTATACCCTTCACCTCTACTTGTTTTATATAGGAGGCCCAATCTCTATCAGATTATACCCTACACCTCTACTTGTTTTATATAGGTGGCCCAAGTTCTATCAGATTATACTCTACACCTCTACCTGTTATATATAGGAGGCCAGAGCTCTATCAGATTATACTCTACACCTCTACCTGTTATATATGGGAGGCCAAAGCTCTATCAGATTATACTCTACACCTCTACTTGGTTTATATAGGAGGCCCAAGCTCTATCAGATTATACCCTACCCCTCTACTTGTTTTATATAGGAGGCCCAATCTCTATCAGATTATACCCTACACCTCTACCTGTTATATATAGGAGGCCAAAGCTCTATCAGATTATACCCTACACCTCTACCTGTTATATATAGGAGGCCAAAGCTCTATCAGATTATACTCTCCACCTCTACCTGTTATAAAGGAGGCCCAAGCTCTATCAGATTATACCCTACACCTCTACTTGTTTTATATAGGTGGCCCAAGTTCTATCAGATTATACTCTACACCTCTACCTGTTATATATAGGAGGCCAAAGCTCTATCAGATTATACTCTACACCTCTACCTGTTATAAAGGAGGCCCAAGCTCTATCAGATTATACCCTACACCTCTACTTGTTTTATATAGGAGGCCAAAGCTCTATCAGATTATACTCTACACCTCTACCTGTTATATATAGGAGGCCCATGTTCTATCAGATTATACCCTACACCTCTACCTGTTTTATATAGCAGGCCTAAGCTCTATCAGATTATACTCTACACCTCTACCTGTTATATATAGGAGGCCAAAGCTCTATCAGATTATACCCTACACCTCTACTTGTTTTATATAGGAGGCCCAAGTTCTATCAGATTATACCCTACACCTCTACCTGTTATATATAGGAGGCCCATGTTCTATCAGATTATACTCTACACCTCATCGATAGCCCTCCTGAAATCCGGGTGCGATTACATTTCTTAAAGTTCTTTGTCGGTGTGAATATTTAGTCTTACATTTATTATAATATTTTGTTGTTTAACAATATTAAAATCAGAACAAATTATGAATTTCACGATGTCTCCATGTGAAGAAAGCACGACATACCGATGGCTTTACAGTGTAACAACATTGCCCTATCACCAATTATTAGACACTCTTCTCAGCTCTCGTAATTCTGCGTCTCTTCTCTTAAGTGTTTATGTTCTGAAAGCAAAACATTTATAAACTGTCCTGCATGAATAGACAATGTGTCATGGCAGTTTACACTTTCTACAAAATGTGTAAACTGCCCCCATATTATTTGTCAAAACGTCAGACACTACATTTTTCAATATTAGGAGTGTTCTTCCGAGCTGGACAGGGCAAGTCATCAACATCGTTGTAACATGATCCTAGTTATAAAAGGGTGGTATTTTCGCTGAAAAGAAAAATACTAGTCTCAAGGGGTAAGTACTGTACAACCAAATTGTAAAAGTCATCTACTGCTGTAACATTGTATTATTGTTATATTGTAGATGCTGGATCAAATTCTGTACAGTGACGAATACATAGGAGATTGATATAGGCCTAGCCCGTTATCTTATCCATTTATATATGTTTATTTATATATATAATACATAGGAGATTGATATAGGCCTAGCCCGTTATCATATCCATTTATATATGTTTATTTTTATATACTAGTGGGGCGACACCTTAAGGGGTGTCACAGATGGAATGAAGTGTAGAGGGCAATAACTCTGTTTAAACAGCTATTCAACAAGAAATTGAAGAAACTGTTAGAGTGTTTTAACAAATTTGACCTCTTTGACCTTGAATAAGGTTCAAAGGCATTTCCTTTTGCAAAATTTGTCTGGTACAATGCTGCTGTGAAGGCAAAGAAAAAGAAATGGACAAAAATTTACGTTCGGACCAGGTGAACTAACAAGAGTGGTGTAGGGCGGAACAATATACGCCTGTCGTATGCCATATAGTGTTATATATTAACTTGCATTAAAAAAGATTTGCATCACCTTAAGAGTGGCTAGCTAGCTATATAAAGCATGCTATAAATCTCACCTTTCACTACAAAGTCAATGTTCGATTTTCTTTAATTTTCTAACAGTTTGAGGAAAACAAGTAATCAAAAGATTAGTCTCCAACTCATTATATTAACACAACTTGATATCATGATTATGAAGCCTACCAAGTTTCGAATAAATCGATAGAAAACTGTAGATCTCCGAACAAGATTCAAGTACTAGAAATAAACAAAGGGCAA